CCCTGTCTCTCTGGCTTTGGGTCTCTCTCATTCTACAGTCAGTGGCAGCCCCACAAATTGGTCAGATCACTAGAGCTTTCATGCCATAGATTCTGCCATTCCTTCTGAAAGGATGTTCCTCCAGCAGAGACCAAAGGCCCCCTTGTCCTCACACCTGTCCTTCCATGGCCCTTCCTCCAGCACCTTCTCCTCCCCGCTGTGCCCTTCCTCCTGCAGGCTTCCCTGGTGCGAGGCAGGTCAGGACTCCGCATAGCAGCTCCATGCAGCCCCGGGGAGCCCTGCACCCCAGCACCATTCCTGGCCCCTGTTCATGACATCCGAACCTTCGACCTGGGTGTCTTCAATCTTGGCCCTGAAGGTTCTGGGGCAGCCTAGAATTTGGTTTCCCCTTCTGTAGTCCTTATCCTATATTCTCTTTGAGATGGGTGCCCCTATTGACACCCAGAAATAAACCTGCTGCCACAGGAGCCCATCAGAGGGAAACAGAACAGAGCCCATCTAGAATCCAGCATGACCCTCAGAGACAGATGGAAGAATCCACACACAGGGCACCCGGACCGTTCCTCTGTCTCAGGGGGCAGAGGTGAACGGCTGAGGGTAACCAAATAGGACAGTAAGACCAGGGACCCATAGAGCTCAGTTTCCCAAGGGCCGGGATCCAGGGTGAAAGCTTGGCCACAGGCTGAGACAGGAGGCAGAGAAAGAGCAGAACTCGCAGAAAATGGCCCAAACTTGTGGGAGAGCAGCAAAGGAGGAGGAATGAGAGACTCACCTAGGACGGTCAGCTGGGTTCCTCCGCCGAACACATAACACTGTGATACAAGCTCATACAAAAACCTCTCTCTGGGAGGCCCTGCCCACCCCCTAGAGCCCCCACCTGCAGCTGTGATGGAGGAAGCCTGGGCCACTGCCCCAGGGTGGTGTCTGCTCTGCAAGGGGCACACACTGTCCCCGCTCCACCATCTCAGCAGATTGTAGGGTGGATGGATGACACAGCGACTCTTACAGTAGCAGGACTATTGGATGCAACTCTCCCAAAGGATATTGGGGTTTGATATGCTCTGTCTACTGCGGTCTCCTTGGATTTGGGATGAGTTTAGAGGGTGTTTATTTCACTGTGAGTGAGATTCCATGGGGATGGGTGGCACATCTCTCTTATGTCCAACAACCCTAATCCCTGGGTGAGAGCATGAGAGGTGGGCGGCCTTTAATCCCTCTCTCCCTTCCTCCCCTTCCAGGGAAAGGCTGGCTAGCCTGTGTATGGAATCTCCTGGCAACTTCCTGTGTCCCCAGCCATCTGATCAGGGGCTCAGGATGATCTTCTCTATCGACAGCCTAGATTGGCACTGTTTAGGGTGCTGTCAGGGGCCACC